GAGCTTCTCTTTCCTCAGCAGTCTCCTCGAGCAAACGTTGTCGTCTTCGCTCCCTCCTTTTCGCTAGACGTTCGGCTTTCTTGTCGTTTCCTTGCGGCTCTTCATTTGGCTCCATATCTTTTCAATTAGTATTTGATACCGTAATTGTTTTATTAAACTTTTTATAGAACAAATTGCTTTGAAAGCTGTCAAAGTTTTTTGCAAACGTACAAAATATTGCAGTACAAAAAGCAAAATATTTTCATGAAGTATCTGTCAGTTGAAGTCGTCATTCGTCGTACAACAACAAATTTTAAATTTGACCAATCAGTGTTCGCTATTCATGACAGTCCGCCATATTTTTGAGATCAGTGAGGATGACCCCCCACCGAAACACGCACAGTGACCCACGCCCGCGATATTTGATGAACTTCAGACTTCCCTAATGCTTTCGTTTCCCCGGGTGTAAATAGCCGGGGGGGGAATTAGTACCCTCGCACGGCACTTCGCGCCGCCGGCTCGGGGAAAAAGGAGAGGGGTTGCTGCATGCATGTATTTATAGTAATTAACGATAACATTCACTGCAATTTCATGCATACCAGCTTGCATTAAAGTGAATTAACGAGTTATGAATGGCTTAAAAATTTCGCAGATATGAATAAAACCGATCACACAAAGTATGGCATGGAATAATTTTACTACTGAAATGTTTACACATACCCAAACCGGCACAACAACGATCAAAGACATCAACATCAAAACAATTATTATACAAACTTTGTTTCAGGTTTATTTCCAGTTAAAATCAGAAAAAACCCTCGTGTTGTACTTTTGTAAACTTTTTAACGAAAGTTGCTGTAAAACAGCAAAAAAAATGCTGTAAAACAGCAAAATACGTCCGAGGGAGCACAGCAGTATTCTTTTCGAGACTGGCGTACCTGTATATGGCTATAAAATCTGTGAATATGTAGTCTTTGTATTCTTTGGTTTGCTAATTTGCAGTGAAACTGTGGGCACATCCGGTAAAATCTTTCGACAGACGCTGTAGCAAATTGCTAGGCACAGTAACCGTTGCTAGACACAGGCCACTGCTAGATATAATTATGCAATCTTGGCTTCAGTTCACATGTTTTTAACGTGAGCTGATCCATAGTTAATCCAAACTGTGGTTGTCGTAGTATGCCATATGTTTGTCTTTTTTTAATCATATTTCAGTACATTAATATACTAAACAATGGGGTCAAATTTCGACATTTCGTCATGATTTCGTTATGTTTATAACATTAAAGCCATTTTCAAATATTCTGATGTGAAATTATTCAAGTAAAACCAGCATACAATATACTAAAACGGGAATATTTGTGTTTAATATAACTAATATACGTTATACAGAAAAATCACAATTCACAACTAATACTATAAACAACATTAATATAAATAATGACAACATTTATATTATTACCACTCTCGAACATGCTATGGGCAATATTCTCTCGAAGTAGAACCATGATATAATACATTTAAAAAGGAATCAGAATTGAAACGTTTACGAATTGTAAACAATAATCAGTTTTTGGTAGGCTTTTACAGTCGACTCTAATCTGATTGGGGTATATAAATCTGATTAGATATAATATAATATAATATTTAACAAATATAAAACATTTTCCGTGTTGATATACAGTTATATCAACACGAGTGGAAATTGGGGAAACGAGAAATTGTGTGGAAACACGACGCCCGAAGGGCGGAGTGTTTTCACACAATTTCGAGTTTTCCCAACTTCCACGAGTGTTGATATAACTATATATCAATACGGAAAAAATGTTTTATATTTGTTTTATAATATAGCAATGTCAAAAGCCCGAAGAATAAGAACAATTTCCGTGTTACAAGCGGCGGAAAATTTCCCGTGTTGACATGGAGTTATATCAACACGGCTCTTAGCCAATCAGCGTTCAGAATTTACAAATGCTATATTATAAAATTAGATATAATATAATATAATATAATCTGATTATTAATGATCTGTAAATCCAACACATTCAAAGCATCCTATTTCAACCGACTAGTTAAAATATGGAACTATACTTGTAAAATTCTACCTCTTACCACCTTCGCCACCCTCTCCTCGTTTAAGGTGGCTCCGTAGGGTTTTATTTCCGGGGGGTTACGTTCTTCGTATATATGTAAACTAAAACTCGTGTGACTTCAAAATACGAACAAACGTGATGTTTTATATGGAACTTTTTTTGAAACAAAAGTGTGAACTTTGCTTTAGTTGAAAGCAAAATAAGAGTTCTAAAAGTCAAAATGATACTTGGATGTGATGTTTCAAAAGAAGATAATGTAAACTTGTTTTTTTTTCAAGCGGTATTCTGGAAGTTTTTTGAACCGCCGTGGCGCCGTACGCGAGGTTCGATTGCGAACATTGGGATATGATATAAAGTTTCCTCAAGAATTTGCAGTGTTTTCTCCACAATCTAGCAGCAATTATGACAATAAAGATAGCTTAAATAATGAACCCTCTACGGGTGAAATGAGCAAGGCCGAAACTCCAAACATACCACTATAAAAATTGAAATTTGAACGGGCATTTTGCGAAAACTTCCGACGATAGTACTAACTCTCACGGGACGAATTTTGACAAATATTTTTCAAATTAATACCAAGAAGTCGTAACCAGCAATTACCTAAATATATTTGCCAATTTTACATGTGTATAATCCACGCTTAGTTGACCATTAACCGACACAGTTATAAACAGTATATCAAACATAATTTATATTTTGTGATTTCAAAAAAGTCATGCTTTGTTGTTTTATGCAGAATGCATGTACACGTCAGTTGGGGGTATTAAATTGTTCGCGTAAAAACATAGTAAAAATTGCCAAAATTAAACCCAACTTTGTAAAAAAAACTTTTTAAAACTTTGTACATTTTTTAATATCGGCACAACAAGCGCAATATCCTTTTTTCTTAAAATTAAATCGAAGGGAAAATTTTTAGTATTGATTTTTGACGTTTTTTAAATTTTCTAAGAAACGTATCGATTTAATTTTTTAAATTGAAGGGAAAACATCATTATACAAGTATTACCTTTTATGCAAAGTTTTAAAAAATTTCACCGAAGGGAATTTTTAAAGTGACCTGAAAAAGGCAAATTTTGAGCTTTATTCTAAGCATGCTGTTGCCATGACAACAGATTTTTAACACAAAAGTTGCAATTTGTAATTTCAGGAGAACATTGTCAATGTGTCCAATAAATTTCGTCTTCATGTCATGTAAAGTGAAGAAACAGGAGTCTCCTGAATACTATAGTGTAGTAAATTAAAAAACCCTAGGGAGCCACCTTAAAAGAAACATTAGAAGCACATGTGAACACTTGCTCGGAACAATGTTCGACATAGAAATGCCATGTACATGGTCATTAGTGCGTGACTGTCCATGTCATAGAACTTAGTAAATAACTGTGTTTCATGTTTGTGCTGTTTTGTATTGTATTTAGTTCTATTTTATTGTTTTGTATAGTTTTAGAATGGTAAGCACCTTGCATGGGACTTTATGTCTCGTTCGTGCTTGATATTGTCCATTTGGGTATTCTACTTATTTCTACATAGAACTGTTGTGTTTAAAACGTTGTAGAATTCTCAATAAAATTGTTAAACTACTACAGATTGTAAGCGTTTGGTTTTGCTACAAACCTTGGAGAAAGCGGTTCTCAAATCCCGAAATGCTATTGTTAATATTGATTACGTGCCCACAGTTTCACTCCCCTCTATTTCTTATTGTAAGTTTCGCGCGTATTTACAAAACCGTTACATGCAATACAATCTGTACAGCGGACGACCATGTGAAAATAGCCTGCAAAGAAGGCGCGTCGAAGGGCGACAATATTTATACGAAAATATTACGAAAGTTTATATGGCTTGTTTATGGTATTTACGTATTTAAAAACAGTGTTTTAGTGTTTATGTACAAATTAGCAAACCAAAGAATACAAAGACTACATATTCACAGATTTTATAGCCATATACAGGTACGCCAGTCTCGAAAAAAATACTGCTGTGCTCCCTTGATACGTCCTTTCAAAATGAAAAACAATTACTTAGACAGAGCTTCTAATCGCGCATGCGCATAACGTCGAAAACCGTCCATGACATAAACAAAATGGAGGACAACTTTGCACTTCGCATATGTTTTCACATCCCCGGGTATAATTAGCCGTGCGGAATTAGTACCCTCGCACGGCGCTTCGCGCCGTCGGCTCGGGGAAAATGACTCATCAGTACATTTTGTCGGCCATCTAGTTTGCGCGATCTCCGCGAATCATACCACCCGGGTGATATGATCAATTCACCTCGTGTGATATGATTAAAATCACCCGCTACGTCAAATACGATGCCGTAAGGCGTGATTCGATGATACATTTCATGCTCGCATGGCACAAACGTAGCTTTCTGATAGGACACTTTGAATTTGAGGTATAATATTTCTATGTAATTATATATTATAACACTCGCCAAATTATAGATATGACGATTGTATACTAGTGGTAGTAATAACTCATGAAACATACATTCTCTTCTGCAGGGGCGGAAAGAAAATGGCGATCCTAAAATGGAAAAGATTGAGACTCAGTTTAAATTTATATTACAATAGTCTAAGGATAATAATATTGAAATAGCTGATTTACCAGAAACATTTATAGACTGAAAAAGCGTCATGTACCCATATTTGTCTAGACTACTGCAGCATATTATAGCTTGCGTGGCAGGCCCTCGTTTCAACAGAGAAGACGAACAGCGAATGAGGACCTGCAAGAAAATCCGGTTTTCGTGATTTTAATCACGAAATTAATCAGTGATAAATAATTTTAATCAGTGCTAAAACACAATTCAATTTTTACACATAAAATGCGATTGGTCTATGCAAAAAAATAACGGATTTGTTTAAACCCCAAACGAACACATTATTGCATTTCTTCGTCTTGATTGACATATTTACGCATATTTAGTCAATTTTAATAAGCTTTTATTTGTGTGTCTATTGGTTTCAATGCAGGCCGTCATTCTCCATTTGCGTTTCCGCTTCGACGAGGGGCTGCCATGTAGGCTAATATTACATAACAAATAGAAAACATTTTTTCTGTGCTTCCATATAGTTATATACGTTTTGCACACTTGCGGTAGTTTGAGAGAACACGAAATTCCCATGTGGATTATGCATGCCATTTTTCCGGAGCCAATTGTTTGTATTAACCAATTTTATAGTAATATTTTATTTTGGTGCGATTTTTACTTGCATTTACCAGATAATTGTATCTCAAGAAACAGATAAGATACCTGATAGAAAACCTACCATCATGTGAGCACCAGCTAACAATGATTCAAAATTATCCATACCTAAAAACACGTGGTCACAGGTTCAAAACAATAAAGTTAATAGCACAATCTCAATAGCAAATACAGTAGAACCACTTTAATACGGACATAAAAGTGCGCAAAGCAACAAAACAAGACGCCAAATTAATAGAGATGCGCACCATTATTCTAGAAAATGTATGCAACCAAACTCAAACAGAGAGAGTGCATGTGAACACCATTCGACTTTCACACCCTTCGACACTCTCATTTTCCAATTTTCAAAAAATATACAACTTTCTTATCAACGTTATACAGGGTGTCCAAAAAAAAACGCTATGGAAATTCAACAGGCTGTCGTGCATCATAAGCGTGGCTAAACAATTCAATTTTTGCATAGGACGAAAGAACAGTTATTTGGCTTTTCAATGATACTCCTTTTAAATCGCAACGACGAAAAATGGCCACATACTCGTCAAATAAAAATTGCCGGTCGAAATCACATTCTTCCATCGTTGGGAATTGCATGGAAAACGAAACATAAACAATTCCCAAGAGGGAATGAAAATTGAATGTTAAATTATGTAAAATAAGCTGAACTCGTCAATCTTGTCTTAGTGAGACCATAAGAACGTCCATTATTGCATAAAACATGGTTCAATTAACCCCTGAACAGAGAACACATTCGTAATCAAAACGTTTTCGAAACAAGTACCTTGCAGCAGACTCGCGGTGCTTTTGGATTGATTAACTTTGCATAATTAATGTATTTTCAATTCCCAACGGTGGAAGAATGTGATTTCGACCGGCAATTTTTATTTGACGAGTATGTGGCCATTTCTCATTTTAAGAAAGGTATCATAGAAAATCTAAATAACAGCTCTTTCGTCCTATGTAAAAACCGAATTGTTTAGTTAAGTTTATGATGCACAACAGCCTGTTAAATTTCCATAGCGTTTTTTTAAACACCCTGTCTAACAGAAAGCACACTCAAACATATGCCAGTTGCGGAGTTGCCCAAAATACATTACTGAAAATCATTCATATAGTAGAGATGCTATAGTATACACAAACCGTGGCGACAAACATAATTTATAAAAATGGATTTTGCTTTGAAATACAAACTAGGGATCCAAGGATAGTGTAAAGTTTCAAATTAAGAAAGACACTGCAAGAACTATATGGGGTCGCCGACAACCTAGAACAGTAAGAGCAGACACATGCTTTAGCAGGCATAGGGTAGAGTAGCCACATTACGAAAAAATGTGGATTACAACTTTAAGAGATAAACAATTCCATATTATCACACCCTTCGTAACTCTTTAATATTAAATATTGCATTGCAAGAGCTCTTATTTGCATGGGCATGACGACTTTCTGTTCTGCAAAGCTGATGGCTTACACTGAAAACACAGAAACGTAAAAAGAGGCGGAAAAACTCATTTATAAAAGGACGCATTTAATTCCCATCCGTTCCGTTCCGAATTTTATCCCCATATCCGTTCCGTGGATCCGCTTCCGCATTTTAACCTAATTGTGAAATGTTTCACAATAACGTCTTATTAACCTTCGACTTATTCCCAAGGTCATGTTGTGTTTCATGAGTCATATTCAGCTTTTCCCATGTATTCAATAATGTCACTTTTCACAGTTGTAGCAGTGTTTATAGCAGTTTTGACAAGCTTTGATACAGATAGATCCCCGTAAGATCTGGTAGAGTTCTCGTTGCATTGAACAAGGTCCGTGACGTTACACGTTGGCTACTTTCTTGCCTTTTCCTTCTATTTCATAAAGCTTAATTTTGCTGGCAAGTCAAGCGAATGGCGATAACACATTGGCTATCTGCTCTTCTTTCTCGTTTAAATAAAGAGCTCTGACGAGTCTCGCAAGTTATTTTCTTCGTAAACGCCATACAATGATACAAACACCCAGTTCTGTTTAATAGTTGTTTACGTTCAACTGATCAGATGCAATTTTTCGGACTTTCTACTGAGCAGTGTAACAACTTATACGCCCGTATTCTAAAAGCTCACTCACGCTCACACTCAATGAGTGGAGGTTCAATCTGACCTTCTCTTGAGTGTCAATGCTGTTTTTGAATAGCAGGAGGGTGAGTAGTCACATAGTAAGGTATGACACTAGCCCTCTTGCTATTCAAAAACAGCAATGACACTCGAGAGAAGCTCAGATTGAACTTCCCTCATTGAGTGTGAGTGAGCTTTTAGAATACGAGCGATACAGTCGATGTATAATTAATATACGGTCTAAATATAATATCGGCACTTAATTGAATGCCCGTAATTCATAATATCAATTTATATATTGCGTAGAATCTCAAAGATTTTCTCAATATTCATGGCTGAAATGTTTATATATTTGAAAACAACACTTCATGTCTCGCTCTTTCCTAGCTCTGTATATGAATATACCATCAGAATAATATCGGCACTTAATTGAATGCCTAGAATCTCAAAGATTTTCTCAATATTTACGTCTGAAATGTTTACATATTTGCAAAAAAAAACACTGTCCACCTCCTTAATTCCTGGCTCTGTATAATGAATATATATATATACCGTCTAAATAATATCGGTACCTGATTGAATACCCGTAATGCATAACATCAACTTATATATTGCGTAGATTCTGAAAGATTACTCAATATTCACGTCTAAAATGTTTATACATCGTGATCTACGGCTTGACAGCGCATGAGCATTTGCGCTGCTAAAGAAAAATCGGGTGTTTCAGGGTAAATATCCTTTACACAACATGAGATTAGCGAATGATATAAAATTTAGAAAAATTTACAATAAGACAACGATTCCAAAAGAGCTAAATAGCAATAGTTTTTGGTTACTTATAAAGGGATTATGTAAATATTTGTATCCTGGGATGGGGGCATGGTATCAACTAGTAAGGACCACGGCGTTATAATTATTGCTTCAAAAAATCAAGAAAGAAAAAAATGAAACAAAGGTTGTACTAAGTAAACATTCAAAAACTTTATCGTACCATTGATAAACTCTAGTTCGCAGTCTTAATTAAAAGCTATATTTTTTATAGTATATTGACTGACACCGACACCAAACCAGGTTGTTTACTTCCACCCCCCACCCCCCTCCCCTCCCCCATGCACACGATCAGGCAATGATTCTGGTTCGGGCTGGCACGTGACACGCCAACAGTTTGGGTGTTTTTATTTGGCGATCTATATATGCGAAGCAGGGAAGGACATGTCATCCAAGTGATCTGAGCGAAATGTTTTGGCCAACTAGCGTGCAGTAGATGCAACCTCGTTCCCAGGGTCTTGTCCTTTGGGAGAGACCCTGGCTGCGGCTGGTCAGGTGCCTCCCAGATTCTGCGAGATAAATTAAAATGATACTATGAGTAGGGTGGAAGAGGAGCGTGTTTGTCGCGTTTCAAAAATTGGTGACGAAATTTAAATTTGCAACAAGAAATCGTGCAGAGACCTCTTAATTTAAATTAATATTTATATAGTGACTTTCTACTCTATAATCTGGTGTCGAGTTACAATTCAAGCAAGTTGAATCAGATTTCAATATTCAACTTATAGACTTGCCAAAGAAAGCACGCTTGCCGCTTGGGCAGCGTGGCAATATTAAACCTACGAGAAAATATATATGTCTAGACTGAACAATGTGGTTGACATTTATTTAGTATTAAAGTCTATCCTGATACTCGGACCAAAAGAATTTATTTATTGATGAGATGTGGAATTGCAATGAAATAGCGAGATCTTTTGATTTCCAAAATATCGCCAACTGTATCCAGATTGTTGATTTCTATAAAGACCTTATTATAAACTTATTAAAGCCCGTCAAAAGACTATAAACCTTCCATGGGAAAACATACGTTAACGGTTTTGAAAAACGTTCTGAAAAATCGTTCGTTATCCGTTTAAACGCTTTAGCGTTCCGTTGAAACGATTTTTGAGATCGTTCAGACTTCTTAACGAACCGTTCAAAAGGTTGGACAAAAACGTTTGAAAAATGTTGCTAAATCGTTTGAACTATTGGTACAAAACGTTCAAATACGTTCATGAAGCCGTTCAAATGCCTTACAGAATATCTTTACAATGTTTAAGTCGGCTTTGTAGGCGGGGTCTCTGTAAAGAACGGAAACCGAAACGACCGAATCCGGAAACGACCGAAACCGGAAACGATCGAAAACCGAAATTCCCGCCTAAATTTCCCGCATAACGAATAATTATATTGTTGATGCTCGAGCGATCGCTGGCATATTAAACATTTAGATAAATATCGTCCGAAAGTAAGGTTGTATACTATTTAACTGCTGACAATTTTGTCAATTATTTAATAATTTTACTGCATATTATTAACTTTCTGAACAATGCCGGTTCATGCCGGTTTTGTTTAATTTAATAAAAACGATATTGCATTCACTTTCTCATTTGACATACGATACGGCTTCCACTAAAATGGCACTCTCTTGATTTTGAAAAAATTAAATACATGCTCATTTAGACGTATACCAAATCCCAATTTATCTGACTGCATTTTAATAGCTTCAAATATTCAGAACATTGTTCTTTCAATCACAAGTGGTACAAGTATTATTGCATTGATTGAATGGTAGTATTTTATTCGACTTTTAATTTGTATGTGTATTGATTAACTCGTAATGTATTACTGCAGCCTATATTTAATATATTGTGCGGCTTGCTAATGCTTCGTATTATTGTTATATACATTTCTTTATCCTGATGATTGAAATATAGTCGAAACGTTGATAAATATAAAAATGTTATCGATCTTTGGAGTTTACACACTTGTTTTTGATACATTTCGTCGTTGTACATTTCACGCCCTGCGTCAATTTGATAGTTGACAGTCTTTGTTTATTATAAGGGATGAATGTATAAAACACATGGTTCAGTGCAGGCTCACCTTTCTACCAGTGAGCCTGCTAGCAGGCTAAATTTTAGGCAATTTTAGGCAGGAAATTAGGAAGGAATTTCCAGTTTCGGTCGTTTCCGGTTTCGATCGTTTCCGGTTTCGG